AGTCGTTTACGAATTATAGTGTCAAAATACTTTTAAAACTGATTTTAGCCAACCGTCATGGCCCACAGCCGCATTGCCGACAACCGCCTCAGCACTTTAGCTCATGTAAAGCACACCACGAATTGCTGCCACCCGACAAAGTAAAAAATTTGTTCGATCCCCGTCAAACTAATACTGCATTGAAACTATTTTAGCTACGATCCTCTGAAGATTGTCTACCTCAACCAACAAAATCAAATGACAGTGGCTAAAGTGGAAGGAATGATTGCAAGGAAGTGTTCTTGTTGATGCAGTACATGTAGATACTATAATATTTTGTATCGGGATCTCAGTTTGTTCCAATTGTGATTATGCCTCTCACTGATCTCTTTCTGTTCTGATTCGTACTTTGTTGTGATATCAAAATGCTTTCAAACACAACCAAACTCGAGCAATGATGCTATAAATATTTCGCTCAAAGGATTTATCCGAATTGAACCTTGATGCGAAGATGATTGGCCACATGCTTTATAGCTCAGGTTCTATAGCTTCAAAAATAGTAGAAATACTCAATAGAAGAACTTTGCTTCTCATACTAGAACTTTGAGCAACTGACCCTTACTCTTCACTAGATTCATAGTCTCATATGAAGTTTCATAAAAATTCCCGTGCTCGGTCGAAGAGCACGCTGAGAATAGTCCGAGTGATCTAATTGTCTTTGACTAAGTCCATTAACTCGCCATTAGCGCAGCACTTGCGACTTTAGAGCGCTCTTATGCGTAGCCACTGATAGCTACGGGCTAGTGCATGCTGTGAATAGCCGAATCATAGTGGGAAATAATCTACCGCTAGATGCGTATTCAGTTTGGCCCACATGTGGCCTTTGTTTTTCCGGAAGACCGCGTCTACTCATGCAGTTGGCCTAAACGCCCTTTCGTCGAGCGTTTGACTTGAATTAGGTTGGCTAAGACTCAATGATAGCTGCCTCACCATTGTGAAAAACAAGTAGTTTTGAAATGCTTTCCGAAAGTCATTTGAAACAGTGTGTTCAAAAGTCCCGATTGCTTCGGGTCATAACTGAAGCGAATGACAGCGTATGACTCAATAGTCGTTTCACGCCCTTGTGTAGGGTCTATCGTTATTTTCTCAAGAATAAATGTAACACTATTTAGCTTGATCTGATACGATACACGACTATTTTGCTTCTAAACGCATGCATTGGGAAAATGTATTTCTTCTACAAGAGACAAAAGCTTTCTAATTTGGAGCAGTGTTCGAAGGTAGAATTGTGCTAATGGAAAATTACCGTTTTTCTGTGCTTCACCTTGAGCAAACAAAGTCCGTAGATTCCTTATATTTGCTGTTCACTTTGCTCCAGAAAATATGTATGTTTCTGTTGTATATACGAGTGAGTGAGAGCAGAGAGGATGTGGTTTTCTTTATAACGATGTGAATCGAAGTCTGGGATCCAATCAAGTCACTGGTAGATGTTGAGCATGTGGGCGAGGGGGGAGGGGAGGGTGAGCTGAACGTTTATTTAGAGTCTGATAATATAGAAAAGCCGAATTTGTTTGCTTGAACTATGGATCAACAATCAAAAAGATGTTAAGTTCGTTCGCTTGATAAAATTTTAAAAAAATGGTTGTGCTTATTCTAATCGAATCAATCTCCCAATCCGATACGGAAAAGCTCATTATTTTTTGCGAGCATCATTTTTTTCAGCATTAAAGGATTTGCTCAAAGTCAATGACGTACCCATCACAGCTAAGCTTCTAGCTTTTGTTATAGACAGCTACATCTCACACTTGATTTACAATTTGTTCATGCATTCTTCAGTAATTCTTTAGCCATAAATAATTTTGAAAAATCTCAGGTGGTCCTATGAGACACTTTTAGCATTGTCGTATTTTTTGTCGTCTAACAAGGGCGAGTAAAGGTGATATCCATTTGTGCATTCTTTTTAGTCACTATTGAGCAGACAATCGCAAACCTGGCAGTATTCAATCTCGGTTATTCAGTTTATTACCAATTCGCATAGGTTTGAACGTTCTGCTAACATCTTCTGATCTGCTATGCCATCCAAACTTCCTTGTTGAAATCTTAGTCTTGATGTTTTTTTTTTCAAGTACTCGCCCTTTAGGCCCTCTCGTGCTCTAGTACAACGTCCACTTTTTCCTGAAGACGTTGACTTAGGATCAGGCAATTTGATTTGATACCATGACACAAGGAACACTTGTCACACCACTTTCATATAAGTCAGTATGTGCTCATCTTGTACATGTAGATCATTTGTGTTTGATTCTTTAGAAGCTGAACTCTTCCTATATATTCCGCCACTAGGTGACGACTTCTGCTTCTGTTCCTGCGCCCCATGTTCTACGCATGTCTCGCTACCTGCGTATGTTTCTCTATAGGAATAGGCGGAATTGTCCTTTCGTGGATCGACATTGAAAGGTACGTACGGCAGAACCTTGAAAAGGGAAGTCTGACATTTTTTGGGATAGCATCATCTATTTAAGGTGGAATTTCGGACTTTACTTCGCTCTTCTCTCCGTTGTCGGCACAACAGTATCTGCGGCTTTTTGGATTATATCGCCGTCAGCTTGTGCAAACCCAAGGTGGATACAGTGGATTATGGACAGGTATGTAGGATAGATGATCTGTTGACATCAAGTGGTCGATGTGTCAGTTGCACACCGCAAAAACGTAAAGCTAGAAGTTCGTTTCCATTCTAATATGCGCAGAGCCGGAGCCTTATTTGATGTTGTCAGCATCCATGACCCCCAAAGGAAATGTATTTCTAGCAGGAAATGCTTTAAAGCAAACTGTGAAAAAATGCCATAAACCGTAAACATGATAAATTTGGGCACAATTTCGCCAGTACTTAATACTTTCTCTGCAAAAAACGCCCATCTCATTGATTTCTATACCAAAAAAAGTATTACTATGGAATAATTTTTGGTAGATTGTATAACCGTGAGTCAATCTTGTGGACTAATGGCAAAACGGAAGTTGTAGATACAAATCTATCACAAAGCCTCCTTATCCCAGCAACTTATGCAAAAAGTCAAAAGCCTTGAAATCTGATAATCCTCCTCTAATATGTCAAAAACACCTATAAGCTGTAAGACGTGACTTTTAACAATCAAATGCCACTATT